CAGCACCTGGGCAGGGGGCAAGGACTGGCATCACCCTCAGTCGGCAAGGAGGGTCTCCAGGCCCCTCTCCGGCAGGCCCCTGCCCCTTTAGACACTGCCGTCAGCTGTGCACACTCAGCCTGGGCTCCCTTTGTGGACCCTTGATAGGCCCCAGAGGGGGACGGGGTGGTCTGAGCCAGCAGCGCCCCCACATCTGGCTGGGATTCCTGAACCCCTCCTTGGCACAGCCCCCGGGGTTCCCTCCGGCCTCGGCCCCCCGACTTGCTGGGTGAAAAGCCTGGCACCAGCCTTCCTGGGACACGCATGGTTGTCAGGCTGTAGCGTGTCGTGGGAACACAGTTGTCAGGCTGACTGGATGGTGCTGTTAGGGTGCAGGATGGGTGTGCAATGCACTCCTGCAGGCTGTGTGTGCACGCTGTTGTCAAGCTGTAGCACCGAGCAGGGCCTACTGTGGTTGGGGCGCAGCACACAGTGGGGAGCTCGGGGTGAGGTATCAGGCTGTGGTCAGGGTGTAACGTGGAGCGGAGCACGCTGGTTGATCCCGGAAGTGCAGACTGGTGCATGCCTGGGGCCTCCGTGGATCCCAAGCATGCTGACTGGTGCTTAGGGGTCCCCACTGGGTTTGGGGGATGCGACCTCCCCCTACCCCACAGGAGGGGACGCAGCCCCGTGGCCGGCAGGAGGCAGCTCCGGCCAGGCATGGCCCCATACACCCGCCGCCCTGCCCCACTTCTCAGCTGTCTCCCTACCTGGGAGCTGGTTGCCAGGCAATGGCAAGAGAGCTCGTTAATTGCTGAGATTCAGTAACGAGCATGGGGATGGAGAAGGGGTGGGCGAGCAAAGACAATGTGTGGCCTGGGGGCAGAGTGGGCCAGGGCAGGCAGCACAGAGGCCACGTGCCCCTCCATGGCTCCCTGCCCACCACTGGGGGGGTCAGCCCTGCTCCCTGGCCTGGCACAGTGGGGACCCCCCGAGGGCTCATCTGCCCCTGGAGGGGGGAGGAAACTGAGGCACAGGGAGTCACTGCTTGGATAAAAATGGGTCTCCCCCCGGCAGATATCCCAGTGTCCCTCCATGGAGTGGGTGGTCACCCCGGGAAGCCTGTCCAGGGGGCACGCAATAAGTGACTCCACAGCCAGCTAGAGCCAGCCTGGGGATGCACGCGGTGTGCAAACTTGCATGGCAGAGCCCCACAACATCGGAGGACATTGGCCTTCCCGCGCCTTCCTCCCTGCCCTGGAAGACAGGCACCAAGATGCGTGGAGCTGGGGGCCAGCCCCTGAACCGCTCTGTGCCTCAGTTTCCCCCAGCTGTAGCTCCCTGAAGGTGGTGCCAGGCTAAGCGAACCCGAGGGGGGACAGCGCGATCTGGCCCAGCAGCAATGGGGTTAACCCACCACGGCCGAATCAGCCTCCCCAATTAACAGGCAACAGGAGTGAAGCCGCCACCTCCGCCCCTGGAGCAGATGGGCAGCCGCCTCCGCCGCTGCCTGGAATAGCAGCTCCCCGGGCCGGATCCTGCCAAGCCTGGAGTCACAGACCTCTGGGTTTGGCAGGGGCAAGGCAGCGAGGCTGGGCACCCCCCTTCGCAGCCCATCCCCGGGACCCCAGAAGCAAAGCCCCAGGGGTGTGAGACTTTGGCCCCTGGCTGCTTTCCCGTCGCGGCCTGCAGCCGGCTCCAGGCTGGCGCTGACCCGTGCTCTCCCCCCAGGACCAGGCGGGAGCTGGAGGTGCGCGTGTCCGACTGCATCCAGATAAGCCTGCGGGGCAAGAAGAGGCTGGTGGCCGTGGAGACGCGCCCCGAGGCCGCCATGCCCGACTTCGGCAAGAGCCGCAATGGCTTCGTGCTCTACTGGCCGCAGAGCTGAGATCAGGGGGCTTGGGGGCCTGCCTAGCCCTGGCCCAGAGGGTGGAAGGAGCTGATGTCACCCCTCCACCCAGCCAAGGCTACGTCTGGGCCAGGAGGGCCCCACAAGCTGCCCGGCCCTGCCCAGAAGCCCCCAGGACCCGCGCTGGCTCCCCACTTGGAGGAGAGGCCCGACCACCCCGGCCCTTGAGGAGCCAGACAGCCATCGGCTGGCAGAGCCGGCTCCAGCCCCGCGCCCCTCCCTGCCGGCTTCGCACCTTCTTGCCCTCTGCCCTGACCTGCTGGCTGCCCCCGGTGCCCCTGTCACCCTCCAAAGAGGGACAGCCCAGACCCTGCTTGCATTGCTGCCAGGGCTGGAGCTCCCCTCCGCCTCCTTACAGGATGAATGCTCCAGTGCCACACGTTCAGATCAGAGAGGAGCCCAGCCTGGGCACCTGGCAGGCTGCTCCGGGACCCCTTGTAAATAAACCAGAGCCCTGCAGTCACCAGATGAGGCTGGCATCATCTCACAGGCTGGCCAGGGGGACCCCCCTCCCGGGCACAGCTCAGGCCTAGCTAAGGACGTGCTGAGATCTGCAATCCCTGCACAGGGGACAGGAACAGGCCCAGCTTCTGGCCTGCCACAAGCCAGGGGTCATGCATGGTGCTGCTGCACACTACTGGGGCTGCGCTGGTCCACCCCAGAGCTGGCTGCATTTCCACCGTGGGGGCTCCTGGGTGTCAGGTTTCTCTGGTGCTTATGGGGGGTCTTAGACTCCAGGGGAGGGGGGCAAGCACGAGCTGCTCCCATTGTGCCTGGGCCTTGTCCCATCCTCTTCCCAGCTTGTCACCCTGTCCCAACTGCTGCCACACATGGCTCATGGCAGCACTGGGGAAGTCTCTTTGCCTGGGACATGCGGGGAGGCAAGGGGCTAAGCCAGCTGGTACCAGCAGCACCTTCCCGTAAGGCCCAGGCAGGGAGCAGCTTTGAACAGCACAGAGCCACTGGCTAATGAGCTCCCACTGGCCCTGCAGGTCCCATTCCCTGCAGGGGCGGCTGCCTGGGGGCGCATTTCCCCCTAGTCCCCATCTGCTCTCACTCCAGGCTCAAGTCCTGGTATTGGGCAGGAAGGCTGGGAAGGACAGGGCCCTGGCACACGGTGCCTGGGGCTCTAGGGAGCTCTGTGCACATGCGTGTGCAGCGCAGCCCATGTCCAAGGGGGTCCTGCTTCAATCCAGTGAGGTGGGGTCCGGTGGAAAGACCCACCTGGGTGATCAACTTCACTTGTAAAGGACTGGAGGTGGGAACTGTTCGTCAATGTGTGCGTGCACATGCACTGGTACACACGTGCCTGTGTGCACATGCATGTATATGCTTGCACATGTATATGCACGTCTGTGCTTGCACACACAGGCGCATGCATACGTACCCATGCTTACAGACAAACCTACGCGCATACACCTGCGTGCTCACAAACACGCTGTGGACTCCCAGGCACACGCGTGTCCAGCCTCACACGGCCCATCCCGCCTTTATCCCCCCACAGAGAGACACTCGGCTCCTTTGTAAAAGGGGCTGCGCTGCTCTCCCAGCTGCCCCAACCCCAGCCTGGGAGTGCGGCTCGGTCGCCATGACCCGTGGCCACGTGTTCCCCTCACTGGGCACGGGCAGCCCCTCTGAGCACCGGGAGGGGGAGCAGGGGGCACCCCTGCTCCCCCTCCAACAGGCTGGGCCCATGCCTGAGCCTACCAAAGAGTCAGATGCTCATCTCCAGGCCCCGACGTGGCAGGCGAGGGAGACAGGCCAGCCCTCCAGGAGCCCCCAGCACCACCAGCTCCAGCCCGCAAGGACTCCAGTGCCCAGGAGGAAGTTTTCCCATTTTATTTTGCATAAAGTGCCACAGTCATCAGCAGGAAACGACTCTGCCCGCTGCACGGTGTGGACCCTCCTGGCCCCGGCACGGCACAGCTAGGAAGGGAAGGCAGTTTTGCCCAGACCCCGGGCAGCGAGGGGCTTTCCGGCACCCGCTGTGTCCTTCCTTCTGGCCCCGCGACACAGCCGGGGGACCCCTCACCTGCTCCCACGGGGCTCTGGCCCGAGTCACGGCAGCAGTCACAGGCAGGGGGGTGGCTTGGCTCCCAGGGGGCTATCAGCTGTCCCGAATCCCCCCCTCTCCGGGGATGGGCAGAAGCAGGAACCGCCGGCCCCACAGAAGGAAATTAAAAACCAGCCAGAGTCCAGTTCGGCCAACGCAGCATCCAGGCGGGCCTGAGGCTGTCCCTCCTGGGGCAGCGGAGGAGGAGACACACAACCGGAGGGAGACACGGGGGAGTCCGTGTCTCCGTGCTGGCAGAGCATACGGTGCTCTTCACGCGGCAGCGGGGGCGGCGGCTGAGCTGGCCGCGGCTGGAGAGATTGCCACCCACGGTCCCGATTCTGGGCAAGGAGGGAGGTGGAAAGGCAGGAGCGTCGCCCGCCGTGCCACGACGGCGACATGAGCTGCCCAGTACCACCCTGCCGCTCCAGCCCAGGCGCAACACGTGGTTCTCCATGCACGCAGCCAGTGCCGGGAAGCGCCTGCTCGATCGGACCCCCGGGCCCTTTCCCGCTGGGCTCGGACCTTTTCTAGTGGAGCCGACGTGTGTCAAGCACCGACTCTACCCCCGAAAGGGGTTGCCGCAAGCCCTGCCGCCTCCTGACGTGCTACATTCAGAGATCTACGTGCCAGACTCGGTAGCCATAAACCAATTTCGGGCCCCCCGGCTTGCTTGGGAGGGCCCAGCTCCAGCGATACCTCTGTGCAAGGCTTTGCCTCATGCCCTGGCAGCTTGTTGCCAGAGAAAGCCTCTCCCCCAGTGTCCGAAAGTGGCTGGAGGTACGTGGAGCCCAGCGTGGGGGAGTGAAGGCAGCTCAACTCCCCTGTCGCCGCCTTGCAGAGCAGGCCAGGCCCACGCAGCTCCTGGGTTTTGCTGGGCCTGGCGAGGAGGACCGCCAGCCTCCCCTCTAAATAGCAGCAGGGGATTTGTCCAGCTGTGTCCTGACAGAGGCAGAGCCTGTGGGGTTGGGGACACGGGCCGGGAGGGGGGCTCTGTCTTCCCCAGGACCCCTCGGTGCTCAGCCCCCGGTAGCCCGGGACCATCGGTGTCCACTCTTGTAGGACAGGGTGGTTGCAACTCGTCCCTGCCTGCAGGGAGCTGCCCCCACAGCAGAGCACCAGGATGGGGGTTGCTTGAAGAGGGGGGCTCCCATTCCTCCTCTTTGCTGGGCATCTCCAGCTCGGGGGTCTGCCCGGAGCAAGGTTCGGTGCCCGCTGGGATGGCGCGGGAGCAGTGGAGCCCAACAAGGCTGTCGGGGTATTTCTTGCTCTGGAGTCTGGGGGCTGCTCCCAGCACAGAGTGGGGTCTCCCAGCAGCCACAACTCTTCCCCCACCACCCTCTGGGATGTCTGTAGCCCCCTCCCAGTGATAACAGTCAGGCAGCGCCCAAATAACCCTCACGTCCGCTCCAGGATGAGCACCTGCAGGGGCCCAAGACCCCAGCCCGGCTCCCAAACCTGCCCACTGTGTGCAGCCTGGCTCCGGGTTCAGCTCCGGAGCTCAGCCCCGCACAGCTGGCGCACCTAGCCCAGCAACAGGCCGGTACAGGGGACTGGAGAGAGGCTGGGGCTGGGGCTGGGGCAGCAGTGTGCACAGAGGGGGTGCATGTGTGCGTGTGCATGGGGGGAGCTGCATGGGTGTGTGCATGGAAGGGAGGCTGTGGGTGTGTGCACGCAAGGGTCTGTGTGCCTGTATGCAGGGCTGTGTGTGTGGAGGGGATGCGTGCGCGTGCGTGCAAGGGTATGTGTGTGTGCATGTATGTGTGTAAAAGGGGCATGCAGAGGGGGTTCACATGTGTGCTCATGGAGTGCATGTGTGCACAGGGGTGTGGGCGTGTGCTCGCGGGGATCTGTGTGTGCATGCATGTGTGTGCAGGAGGGGGACGCATGTGTGATTTCACCGAAGGGGTGCGTGTGTGCGTACATGTGCAGACAAGCGTGTGTGGAGGGGGATGCGCGTGGGTGCGCGTGAGGGGTTTGTGCGTGTGTGTGTACATACGTGTGCGCACACACCACCCTCCCCAGGACTCGCCCCCCACGGGGACGCACTCAGGAGAGCGCTGCAGGAGAGGGGGCAGCTGCCGCGCCCACGGGCCGCCTCCCCACCGGCCCCCCAGCACCAGCCCAGGGCACGGGGCCAGGCTCAGCACCAGCTCCATGCCCGGGACGCGGGTTGGGGCGGAGGCACCAGTCACCTGTCAAGGATCGGGGCCAGGTCGTGGCGGGCGGTGCCCTCGCTCTTGAGGTCGGCGAAGACCTGGGTGAAGTAGCGGGGGTCAGCGTTGATGCGCAGCATGCGGGCGCTGGTGGCGTGGATGATGCGCAGGCAGCGGTCCCAAAAGGCGTCCTTGCCCGCCTCCACGAGGAAGGGCTTGAGCGGGTAGGAGATCTCGTGGCCCATGTAGGAGTACGCCAGGTAGAGGCAGGTGAGCAGGGCGGCCTGCAGGTCACGCTCGCTGGCCACGGCGTCGCCGTCGATGGCCTCACGGCACAGCAGGTACACGAACACCACATTGGCTGGCGTCACAAAGGCCTGGTCCTGCCAGCCCTGCAGCAGCAGCGCCCGGTCCACGCTGCGCAGCCACAGCCCCGGCTCCGCCGCCGACAGGTGCTTGAGGCGGTAGCAGCGCCGGCACAGGAAGGCTCCCAGGCACTTGAGCAGCTCGCTGGTGGATGCCTGCACCACCACGCGGCGTGGTGACGAGCCCGGGGCCGCCCCGGAGATGGCGGGCACGCGCTGCGCGCTGAGGGGCGCCGGGGACTGCCCGTCCGCGGCAGAGCCGGCAAGGTTGGCGCAGGACAGCGACTTCTGGGCGTTGTGGTGGTTGAGCTGGGCCACGTCCTGGGCGCCACGGGGGTCGTGGGCCTTGCCTCGCCCGCTCCTCTTCTTGGTGGAGGCCACCAGGCGCTTCCAGGTCAAGGCCGGCAGCAGCATGGAGGGACGCTTGAGGCTGCGGTCCGCCTTGGACCCGCCGCCCTTGGCGCTGGGGTAGTGGGCGAGGGAGCCAGCGGCGCCGTCGTCGTACAGGCCGGCTTGGCGGGAGCCGGGCGACAGCGACAGCACCGTGCCCATGCTGGGGGGTGCAGGGGAGTAGCGGGCTCGGGGTCACGGGGGCGAGGCAGGCATGGCCGTGCCCGGGGGGCTCTCACCTGGGCATCTTGGGGGACGGGCTGGGCTGCCCTTCCCCGGTGGCTCCAGCTCTTCCTCCCCAGCTGCGCCGGGGCGATGCTGGAGCCGGGTGGCACGGCTGGGCACGGCCGGCTGCCCCCCCAGCTCCAGCCAGCTGCGGCTCGGGGGCTCGGGGATGCTGATGGCGGTCCCTGCCCGGCTGGCAGCGGCTGCAGCCGGGAGCTGCGGAGCA